GGGCAAATATATGCCTAGACTAAGACACAACTCCACTAAGAGCCTATAAACTTTTACCAGTAGAAAAGCATCATTTTCAAATAAAGTATATACGTCTAAAACATCGCTTTAAATAAACCTTCGTGTCTTTAAAGTAATTATTATACGAATGTTTCAAATAAAATTTAATATTATATGTATTGATTTTTTTACTCCTTCATACATATAAAGGTGTTGGCTCCCTAAAAACACCGATTGTATAGAGTACAAAGCATGAAATATTTACCTGCTACAGTCGTCTAAAGTTCATCTACTATTGGCTGGTAATTTCTGTTTGACCCTGTACTTGAACTTTTTAGATGAACAACAGATATTTATAAGAAAACTAACTTGAAGGGGTAATGATAACATCGTTTACACTATAATAATGATGTTTTTAGCTTATGTAAAATATAGAAGAAACAAATCGGCTTTTTCGATACCCTTATTACCTTCGCAGTACTTTATTTAGTAGAAGTTTGGGTGCAATATACCAAATCGTTTTTGTTGTAGGCTGGCAATAGAATAACAACAATAAGAAGAAGAATTAGAAACGAGTCGTTTTGAGCGGATTTTCTTTTCCTTGTACGTCTAATATGCGTGCTTTTTTTTCTTAAAGTATTGTTTGAACTGAATCTTTACTGGGAATGATTACTTCTCCAGGGACACAGGGAGCCGTGACAATACTAGAAAGACAGTAGCCATGTGTGAAGGAATACTCCCCTATGGGCAGTCAGCCGTGACAATACTAGAAAGACAGTAGCCATGTTTGAAGGAATACTTCCCTACGGGTAGTCAGCAGTGACAATACTAGAAAGACAGTAGCCACGTTCGAAGGTATACTCCCCTATGGGTAGTCAGCCGTGACAATACTGGAAAGACAGTAGCCACGTTCGAAGGAATACACCCCTATGGGTAGTCAGCCGTGACAATACTAGAAAGACAGTAGCCACCTTTGAAGGAATACTCCCCTATGGGTAGTCAGCCGTGACAATAATAGAAAGACAGTAGCTACGTTTGAAGGAATACTCCCCTATGGGTAGTCAGCCGTGACAATACTAGAAAGACAGTAGCCATGTTTGAAGGAATACTCCCCTATGGGTAGTCAGCCGTGACAATACTAGAAAGACAGTAGCCATGTTTGAAGGAATACTTCCCTACAGCCACAGGCAGCAGTGCCAATACTAGAAAGACAGTAGCCATGTTGGAATGAATACTTCCCTACAGCCACAGGCAGCATCGATACTAAAAACAAATCCTGTACTTTACAATCATTTTACCAAATATTTATCCATTTGGATACTCTTGCTCCACTGTATCCTGCGAGCAAGTGCCAACATTAAAACTATGGATTGTGGTATGCAGAAAAACGAATAGAAAAGAAGGGTAACAATGAACACCTGCATACAGATAAACGATCCGAAATTACGCGAAAATCGAGAGGATTACATACAAGTTCAGGAGATAGCCCTCGTGTACGGTTTTTCTATGTAGTCTTGATGCTAAAGTAATCTTCGCTCTACTCTCTTTGTACGTGTGTGTATATATATTTATACGTTTAGCCTATCCGAATCAATGTTGTTGTTTTTAATTTGGAAATATAACTGTAAAGTGTTTTATAAACAATGCCATTATCAAACACAACAGTAAAGTATTTTCTACATCAACCTTTTAAGAAATTCTACCTTTAGAATTCAAAGACTATCAGACTAATGGTGTTCTTAGTTAATATCCAATAAATAACACTTTTACTGAGATACGTGCGAGAGATGGACACTTTTTTCTTTTGTTAAGCACAAAGCCACACAATGGGCTATCAATGCTCTACTCACCGCTGGTTATCGCAATCCGGTGTTCGGCGTTATATAAACCCTCAGACTTTCAGCTAAACCACCAGTAGTGGGTCGATAAAATATTTCCTGTGTACATTTATTCAAACCTAAATTTACCAAGGGTGCCAAAGTAGAACCCATCGTTTTTTTTATAACCCATTTTTCTAAAATATATACACATCAAATCATTTCTGGGTCCATGACTTTGTTGCTTAAAAAGGTTCTCGAATGTCACACGAGTCATAAATATAATAGTACCGTCTATCCATGCAACTACATTGCAAGGTGTAGATGGATATTCACCAAAATTTTTTCTGGAGGTTTATTAGACCTATGCGGTGGTACATACAAATTTTCAGTTTTGCATTTTTATCACTACTTCGCCCCCCCCCCCCCAAACCTGTAAATAGATTTTCACCAAATTTGGTAGGGAGGTTCATTGGGTCCATGCGGATGATATCTACATGCAAATTTGCGGTTTCACATTTTGTGTTTTGCAATTTTTCATGGGCGTTTTTTTTTTTTAACAATTGTTTATAAGGGAAGCAAATTTTCACGTCCCGAGATACCCTTCCATTAATCATGAATTTACATAACTTTCGTCCAAAAGGATGAGTACTCCAGCTAGTATACAATATGTAAGCAAAATTACCATCAATATTGCGGTCAGTCCCACTAACCACTGATGATTCCTCTAGGTATATTCATTATTTTTTAGTTATTTCTACACAAGAAAGACGTTTTCTATTTCGATACTGCTCAGCCAAAGCTAAGAGATGTAAATGTAAAATAAAATATACAAGCGACAGTTTTAATAGCTTAATAGAAACAATGATGTCGGACATTGCAGTTATTAGGATTAATATACAAAAGAAATAATAAATACAATTCACAGTGATTTTCTCCGTCTCTAAGACCAGGAAAGGAAGCAAAAGAAAAATAAAAGTCTACGAGAAATACCGTTTATATATATATTAGAATTTTACACGTAAATATACCCCAAAAAACAAACTCAAAATGTCAAAAGAAGCTACTTAGTTCGAGCGTTTCACGAGATTTCTGTATCATCGCGACACAGGAATACCTTTTTTCTTCAAAATCATAGTGTAGCAAATTGCATATTACAATTTTCTTTTCAAACAGTCTACATACTTATTCTTTTCTTTCTTTCCATCGCCCCTTTTTGGTACAAAATTCAAACACTTGAATTATTTACAATCACCCATGAAACTTTCTCAACACCACTGACAAAAATTACCAAATTCAAACCTTCAGCACAAGTTTATTACAGCAAATATTTTAAAACCAACAATAAGTTGACCTAATCTTAAAAGTAGCTACATTTACTTTATATGCCGAACTCGGCAATGATGCAGGGTCAAATCAGGTCTCAAAACACACCTAGTTTTCTTTTTAGCAATGTAAATTATTTACGTATTCACCAATGATTTCTATCTGATACTGATAATCAGACCAGTACCTTCTTTTTAAGTAGATAACATTCTACACACATACAGACTAAATACCTCGAGTGTAGTTTTAGCCTAAAATTGACCAAATTTCAGTTCCACCATGTTTCAAAGGTGCATCAAAAGAATTTCAAAAAACTTATTGTCACAATTTACAAAAGTCTTCACACTACACCAGTTATCATTTCTCTGGAACTTCAACATGAAGTTAAATTATTTTTCTTTACTGATGAACAAAGGTTGAAAAATATAACGCTTTTTTTTTACTGCAATCTGTTTACTTAGTAAAAACACAGACAGTTAAGTCTCCCAACAGGAAGTGAATAGAACCACTGGGTCATAGTGCAACAGAAAGTTTATTATACAAGAAAGCTTGTTTGCTGTTTCTTAACACTAGAGAAGTTGATTATATATATATATATATTTTTAAATATTATCCCTCTTCTGTGATCAGTACCTTAATAGCAATAGTGAATGTATTCCTACCATCTATTATTGTAGCTAGTAAGCATTAATTTTACTATATTTTTGTAATTACTTCTGTGATCAGTACCTTAATAGCAATAGTGAATGTATTCCTACCATCTATTATTGTAGCTAGTAAGCATTAATTTTACTATAATTTTTGGTATAGAGTAGGGTATGTACATTAGTAGGTGTCAGATTTTATTGTTCTTATGCTACTACACTGTTTTTAGCACTGTGCTCACTGCAGGGATCAAACCACAAACTGTTTGCATTATAAGCCTTTAGTCTTACTACTGAACCATAGGGTGGTAACTACTTAATCAACAGAATGCATGGAGAAAAAAAAAGGTTTTGAAAAAGGCTCCTTCCAAAATTTGTGATGAATGGCTGACTATGAATTCATTTTGAAAAAAGAAAAAAAAAGACAAAAACTGTTGCTATAGCAACATACTACTTACCATGTTCTTATATCTTATAACTGTGATGAAGTAGTAGAAATATAAGTGACAATATGTGCAATATATTTGTTCAGTGTTTCCATAGATACAGCAGTCTCTAAGTATCTGTGTAACATTAGATATAACGTTCATTTAAAATTTTAAGGAGTGCCAGAGTAATGGTTAAGTTTCACAGGCTTCTAATTATAACTGAGGAAGAAAGACAAACTATTATAAAAATATGTAATTTTTAGATCTATCTTCAAAAAAAATAACAGTATATAAAGGAAAAAAAAATTTGTCCCCCCCCCCATTTAAGATTTCTTGTTTTCCAAAATGTAGATTCTGAAAATATTTAAAGAGCAAAACAAGAGAAATACAAGTAATGTATCATGATTGTTTTTCTCTGATGGATCTACAAACTACAATAAACAATAAAAACTACCCTTTTATAGATATAAAAAACAAAACATTTAAACCTTTCAATCCCAAGGGAATCGTATTAGGTTCAGGCATTACAAATGATAGGCCTAATTCATTACTTTGAAGAGTTGTTGATCTATCTCAGCCACCAAAAGTTGCCCACAATATGTTATGCTAGCCTTAATACCAAACAGACTGATTGTGGCTAAATCTCCATCATGAAAGTAATTAATGTTTAATTAGAATTTGTGGCTTGATCTAAATTGTGAAACAAGAAACTTTGCATTACAGTAGACTTAATGCGCTAAATCTCCCATTGCAAAACGACAACTTTGCATTACAGGACAATTAATATGGATTCAGATCTCGTGGCTCAAACTTTCAGTGTGAAAGTGCATATTGTGCAGGAAAATTAAAACCTACAGGCCCACTGATCTGTGAAGCTCGCGACTCGTTCTTATAGCACGTACTGGCTTATTGGAACAGCAGAAAAACTGGATATCTCATTCTAATATAATCAGTATCCAACATGAAAAACCAGTTGTTCTGAAAAACACGTGCAAAATTAATCAATTAATGTTTAAAGGCAAAAGTTAAAGATCACATACTCCCTTTTTTTTTGGGCTTTGCTACAACAAAGCCAGTGACAAAACTGTGTTGAAAAAAATCTCAAATACAGAAATGAAACTTTGTAAAAGGGTTCTTGTTATGGAGAAAATTTCCAAAACATTGTATTCCAGTAAATCAAGTCTCAATTAAATAATGATGACAATACATAAAATAAGAAAAAAAAAAAAAAAACTGGGCAAAAACTCTACTTACAGCTAGTTTGTGTCATAGCCCAGTGATAAACATAAAAGTTGCATGCACTGCCACCTACAATGACCTAGACAGTATTATATATATATATAGATAAGAGTAATTAATCCATTTCTTTCTTTTTTAGATATATTTATATATCTCTACACAGTATACATGACAACAAAAATCATTTCAGAAACACTTTCCAGGATCCTACCTATCTCATCAATGCTACCATTAAGCAATTGGTAATTCAGAACGTTTTATATTCACAAAATAATTGGTACACTGTTTGGATAAATTTACTGAAACCACATTCGCAATCCAGTATACTGAAGTATTTTGATATGCTAGTTTTACGTAGTTCTCATATGCTTACTTTACCTATTCACAAAGCATATGTACATTAGATGAAAGATGTTCTAAAGAGAGGTGGGGGGGAGGGGGGGGGAAGATACTTCTTTCTTAAAGTTGTATGTCTAATTAATAACTGTGTTAATATATTAAAAAAATTACAAGTTTTATTGGAAATATTGTATACATTTTCCTATGGAGTAATTATCTATTATGTTTCAAAAATTTAGATACTGATAAAAAATTGAGCTAAAAAACATCATTTGATTTGGTCACTAGCATTCCTTATACTTATCTAACCATAATATTATACCGTCTAAGTTATTTTTCAGCTCAATCCAATGATAAGAAGTCACTCAAGAGAAACCATGGCACAGGTAAAATATCAGTAAGATTACCCAAGTATTTTTAGTATTAAACTTTCAAGTGAATGTCAGACATTACTGCATTAACTACCACCATGATATCTGTTGGGCGTACGTACACTAAAGCCAATATACGTCACTTAAGCTACTGAAGAAGGTATTAAGTGGTGTTGAAAATTCTGTCCACAAGTGGCATTTTCTCGGAATTTATGTCCTTTCTTTTCGCACCCTCCTACACAGAGCTGTGTCCTGTGCAGTGTTTCTGATTCAGACCTTGATTAATATTTCAAACCCCAAGAAAATATACAAAATGAATTAGTGTAAAGGATTTCAAAGTTATGTAGGTTTTCTTGAACTTATAATGAAATATGTCACAGCCTAGTTAGATATTAAACAAAATACCAGATATTAAACCTCAAGCATATCATTTAGGTTTTGGAAAAACAAACAAACAAAAAAAAAAAATGCTAAGAGTGTCATATGAAAAACGTCAACATTTCTTTAAAAACTATAAATTAATGTGAAATTTTAAGTACTTTGAATCAACCAAAGAAAATAAACAACTCTAAACCTTATGTGGTATTTATAAAAAGAAATTTCTAAAATCTTCAAGAAGTGAGCAAATATACTTGTAAGATTGGGAGCTCTCAATCCATTGATACATATCACTAGAGAGATCAAATAACATTCACAAGATCTCCTCCTGAACGAGGAAATCACCCCCGTTACAGAGGTACATATTGTTCTTCTTTAATATTTTGTGGTTACAAGAAACAATTTCCCTTTTTTCTATAATTCAGCTTTTTAGTCGTAGGCAACTGTTGTCCTTCGAAAGTGTATAAACCACTCGGGTGTTAAAGTGGTCGGAATAACAACAACCAAATACTACAAGCAACTGTCACGGATACAGATAAATCAAAACACCAACATTTCTATCACAAAATGGGACAATTATTTTTGTGATGATTGGAGCTGGAGGTCAAAATCTTCAATTCAATAACTTGGGTAGTATCAGTAGCCAGTGCCATTTTTTTACCCATTTTCTATACTCTGTGTCAGGTGAAGCTCTATAGTAGTAGAATTTTAATGTTTGAACGATGTTGTCACAATGAAAATGTATTGCCTCTTAAAATCCTCCACAGAATAAATGAGACACCACTAATTCTTACGAGCTCTTGGAAAAAATTTCATTTTGTATAGCACAAACATTTGTGAATGCTGTTACTAACATTTCGGTAATTTAAATGTCACACAAAGTTCCCTTTAGAGTATAAAGAAAGCAAATTTCCAATGAAAAAAAAATATATATAATTTTTTTTTTCAATGCTCTGTATGTATCTGAGAAGCCCATTTTCGTTGACTTTGCTCAAACACTTACTTGGTGTCTGGAAAAAACGTAACTGTGTGGTTATAATTTGGATGTTTCCCCATGTAAAAGAAACTCAACACATCAGCTATTTTGTGGGACAAGAAAATGCACAGTTGTCAAAATGTATCTTCAAGTTTCAGAAATATTTTAGTCACAGCAGAAGCAAGCCCACAATGAGCACTGTTACTGGATCTGGCACACTTCACTCTACTAGGCCATGGAAAAAGTCTTTAAGTAGCTGCTAAAATTCAAAACCATCAGTGGGGATACTAGCAATAGGATCAAACTGATAGCCTTGATCCGATGACTCTGGTGCCACAGTGGAATCTTCATCAGCCTGGAATAAAATTTAACATTACACCAAGCAAAAACAATAATTATAAATTACTTTTAACCTTTATTATTAAAATGTAAATAAAAAAAATCAAGCAAGAAGTTTAATTGGTTTACATCCTTGTAATAAACATATAAAATTTGAAATAAAAATATAAAAACCTAGTAAGAAAAATTACATAGAGAATTAAAAAACACGCTGTTTTACTATTGATTTCTAAGACTATGAGCAGGTTTAACAGAATTTTGCCAACATATCACATCAAAAATGGTGTTGTAACCCACAATTTTCCCTACAAACTAAGCTGTCTTAATGAGTATACAGTCTATTTATACGGTATTGGAAAGCAAGAGTCAATATTAAAATCTACTGATATTTTGCTTCAGCATTGACATTTAAATCATACTTATGAGTGTATGTTTTAAGCTATGGAGTTAAATCTTGGTGTGTTCCTTAAACTATACCTACTGTTCTCATCCAGGAAGGAATTTGTTTTTAAGCTGACAATTTCAATGACGAAGTTTCTTTTAACCCTTTCTCAACACGAGCCCCTATAAATGCTTTTCAGCACAAGTCACCATGTTACATTAAAAATTTAATCAAACACCTTTAATATCAATATACATGTGAATAAAATTAATATTATAATGTTTGTTATGATTCAAAGTTCTATTCTATCCAAGTCCTTTATTTCAAAACAAACCTTTAAAAAAACTACTTTAACCTTCATATGTATTGTCACGTGACCATTGAGCTATGAAAATTCTATATTTTGGCACTCTGTATCTTCAGTAATACAGTGGTAGTTGAGTAGAGATACATCAAGACATTACGTTGTTTACATAACCTTTTGACTTGCTCATTTCAAAGTACTCTGAATTAATACAGTTAAAACTAGTAATAATTTTTTTTAACTCCTGACACCCACCTTCAACAGATTTGTTTGCATTTTATAGCCTACATGTAGATACGTATATAATATAGTCGTTAGAAAAAGGTCATTTTACACGATAAACTAACAAGTTATTTTGAAATTGGCACACAGTTGTCATCACAGATTATACAAAATTGACTATAGCATGGTTGGCTGCTTGATTGATTATAGCATGGTTGGCTGCTTGATTGACTATAACACTTACGGTTGTTTCTTATCTAAATATATTACATTTCAGTTAATTATGTATTAGTTATGGTTTAAAATGCATAATTAAAAGGTTTAAACATTTTTTAAATGTTCATCATATTTTGCCTCCGTTCTCGAGGCTTAGGATACTACGTGCTGAACGAAAATTTTGCTGAAGGGTTGCGCATGTCTCCCAAAGAAAGTGTAATATGCCTTGAGGGCACCAGATGTAAAGAATCTTTGAGTGAGTGCATTTGTTTTTGTTTATTTTTATTTTTTTCTAATAGTTTTTGATATAAAATAGTTTTCTATAAAATAAAGATTATCACAGATTAACCCTTTTGCGGTGGGCTCGTGCAATTTGCAGAAATCGAGTCACGAATTTCACTTGTGCAACAATACAATGCTGTCAGTCAGATTTCATAACGCATCTTCTCAAAAATAGTAAGATTTTGTTAAAGATCACAAGTATCTTGTGCACAAACAGTGACGGTTCTATCACTGTTTTTACTAAAAATATGGTATTTTTCTATTGTAGTTACTTGCATTCAAACTATTAACAAATCGAGTGCAAGATGATTTTTATTTTAAGTATAGAAATTCTTTTCTTTGTCTTGTAATTTTCATATTTCATTTGCATAATCTCTAGAACCTCCTAAAGGAATATGAAGTTTTTTTAAGGTAAAATGTTCATTTTCTTTACCATATCGCCAACTCTCGTTATTATCATCGATGTACAATGCAATAAAATAATTAAAATTAGAAACAGAAAAAAATTGCATACATTTTAATTTCTTGTAGAATATCTTTAAAGATTTTCTTTTGTTAAATTATAATTTCAGCTCTTTTCCTTTTTACATATAATTAATTTTTAACATTTTATTTTCCTTTCTTGTCCTTTACCACCTATTATTCACCTTGACATAAGTCAACAAATTAAATTTTCTTTTCACCACCACCCCAAGGCAGAGTTTTGTTTAGAGAAAGTGAGGTATAGACAAATGTAATTCATATTTCTGAACACAGTAGTTTCTGACTGAGAATTAACTAAAGATGAGGAATATAACAAGAAGAATTTCATCTGATATTATTATAGTACCTACATCATTCCAAGCTATGTTCACAACCACTGAAACTTTAAAAATTATGATACTTTGTTTTAAACAGAATAAAAACACAGCAACTTACATCATCAGAAAAGTATTGGTCAATAATTTCATAAGCCAACTTATAAATTTCTTCATTTTCATGATTTTGCAGTTGCTCAATTTTATCAAGTCCTGAAAAGATACAATAAGTAAATGTTATGCAGTCAAAAATGGGACACAGTTCTAAATCACACATTTACTGTTTTGTCCTCTACTAAAATCAAGTGAATTTTATTTATTATCTCATATTTGTGATAAACTAGTTGGGAAGAGTTCTTTTTTTTCTGTGCTTACTAAATAACAACATGAAACAATTACTTGTTTGGATATTCGTGCCAAGTTACAAGGGCTATATCTGTTCTAGATGCCCTAGGCTAGAGGGAAGACATCTAGTGAATACCACCCCCTCCACCAACTTTTGGGATACTCTAACCAAATAGTGTGATTTGCCATCATTCTTAGAATGCATTCACATCCCAAATTTCAGAGACAGATTTTTGCAGCAATGATATGCAAATCATGGATCCTTAGATTTACATTCTGGTATGTTAAATGCTAGGCCGAACCCAGCGTGACACGTTATGGAAAATGAGTACAATAAAAAAGAAATGACAAACCTAAGTTTAACATGTTGTTATTCTACTACCTAATTATCACATTTTTGGTGATTAACAATCAATATACAGATAACTCAACATAAACAAACAACAACTTATAAAAATAACATACACGTTTAAAATGCAGGTTCAAAAAAAAAAAACGTTTAAAA